TACTATAAGAAATCCACTAATAAAATAAATATTAACCTATTAAATAGGTGATTAAAACTAATAAAATAATTTATAAATTATGTAAAAATATTAGGAAAAATATAAAATATAATATAGAGCTAAAAATCAATATATACTAATATAGAAAAAAAAGTAAATTCTATTACAATATATATTAAACTATAGTTTAACCAAAGTATATTAAAGTACTAAGATTATATTATGAAATAGATGCTAGGATCTGTGTGAACTTTACAAAAACACAATGATTAAATAATATAATTTTGATTACAAGTGTTGGTTCTATCATAATGATATCTAAATCAACTATAAAAATAAGTATAAAAGACTCTGAAAGATTTATCTTTTAAATAAATTAGTCTTAAGGTTAAGATAATGATCTGAATATTTAAGTATAACCTAATGAGTTAATACAGATTACAGGTTCAAAAGATTTAAAGTGAAACATCCAAACAGAAGTATTAGATATAGCAATTAATGAGGAATCTTTAAATAGATTCTTTAAATAAGTAAGATAGAAAAGTTACATATATAACCAATTGTACATTAAATCACATTATCAATAAGTTATTAATAAAAATCAAAAGACCAAAGAAATCACTTTAATAACAAAAAAAAAAAATTTTAGAAGTTAAATAGTAAAAACTCTTAGAAGCAACAATTTAATGAGTAGTGTAGGTTTGAGTATTAGTTTATATAATTTTTTTATATGTTTAGAAAACTTTTTAAAATTTAAACAAATATAATAATATGAACTACTATATATGCATATATTTTTTATATTTTTTTTTAACAGGATAAGAAAAGATATATACATATATAAAACTTAAAACTTTTAGAATAACCGTCATATTATAAGATAGATTGTGATTTCTGGTTTTAAATTATACTGTATATATGAAAGGTTATTCAAAAAACTGTAATGCTTGGTTCTAGATTACAATTTATATGAAAGATTATTTGTTCTTATAGGCAGATAATGATAATTGATGTGAATTTATCAATTAGTTGGTAAATAGACAAGATTATTACATGCTTATATACTTCACGAAAAATAAAATATATTTATTCTAAGTTTTAAGTTTATTGCAGTTTTAATTTTGTTTTTTTTTCTCTTTTAAAACTTACAATTAATTGGCTGATCAACATGTGACAATACATGAGCATCGTGTAACATTAAACAGATCCTCCTGTACTAAGCAGGGGTGAACGTCCCATCAATTTGAAGATCATTACACAATTGATAAAAATTTTTTTTGTATTGTTTTAAAGTACTTTTTTAGGAAGCTGGTATAACCTAAAGCTGCTATGAAACATGAGCAAGCTCACTAAGCAAAATTGAAGCTTTAGTACTGTACTATAACATATTAATTTAATTCTATTTAATCCCACAACATTCGTATTTAATTTAACTTTTAAGTTATGTTTGAAATTAAGCAATGCATAGAGTGCAAAGCTATGGAATCATGCAAATTCAGAGCATTAAAGGCGTTAAAAGCCGAAACGTGAAAGGAGGCTGAAAGTAAAGGTTTGATCAAGGTAATGTGAAAGGAGAAGAATATTTTGTGTAATCAATATTATATGAACTTTATAGCAAATCCTTTACAAAAAGCTACTAAATGAATAAGAACCATTCAGGAAAAATCTAGAGAAGTAGAAGCTGCCTTGAACGAAAGTATAGAAACTACAGAGAAAAAAATAAATATGACTAGTACTGTAAAGGTGATGGTGAAAATATTTTATGATAGAGAGCACATAAAGAAAGAATGCCTGATATATGCATTTGATGAAATGCGAACATTTCTTCAAGAAAGTGAACCAAGTTTAAAAGATTTTTTTGATCAGCTTTTTTTAGTTGCTCAGCTGTGTGAACGTAATGAGCAAACTATGAATCGTATAAAAAAATTAATGGTTCTTATTTGTTATTTGCTTGCTTCATTGAACAACACAAAAATTAATGCCTTTAAGTTAGATATTGCAAATTATTTAGATTCTGTAGAAACGACAAATGAAGGTGTGAACACAATGGCAAATATCGGCATATCTACAACATCAAGGGCAGTAACTTAGCAAAAGAAAATAATGTCTGATGCCTATGAAAAATATGCAGAGAATGCACTTTTTCAGCATTTGGAAAATGTGTTTGTGTTAAACATTAATGACTATCATAATATCTATGTTCCACATCACCCTGATACTATGGTGACTTCTAGGCCAACACATATGGCAACTATTTTGGTGAATCCATGCCTAACTCCAGCAATACTGTGTAATAGAGCACTTAATATAAAGTTCTTGAACAGTGACTTGATTGTGAAACATCTTGATAGGTGATTTATTATGAACCTTGGAATTTCATACTATGATCATATACAGAGTACAGGAAAGGTATGTACTGATGAAGAACTAATAAATTGGCTAATTATACACAGTTATGATGACAGGCTCACAGAGGCAAGAAACGATCGACATATACGTAATTCTATCCTTGTCGACTTTATCCAGAAAGATTTAAAAAATATTAGAGGATATATAGATGCTATTCAAACTTTATATGATAAGGAACCAATGCAGCAGTATCTTGCTAATTATATGATTCCTATTGTTGCGGACTTGCTGAGCCAGTTTTTCATTCGCAATCTATTGTGCAATGATATTTATACAAGAATAAAAGCATTCCCAAATTTATTATGTCCCTTTTGCCAATTATGGGGCCACTCCATGTGTCTTTAAATGTCCATGAACTGGTTTATCTAAAGAATTCCTTTTTCTTTATTGATATTTACAAGGGCATCTTTGGAGAAAATAAAAATCTAGATAAGATACCATGGCCGTGGAGAATTAATTTAATTCTTCACATTGTACATATGGCATGGTCCAATATTATCGATATGGTTTATTCCAAGTTTGATAATACATGTAAAAGTATTGAATTTTTATATCTAACTGATCTTCTAAGTAATTTAGTTCCTTTAGTTTTAGATGTTTATGTTATGCATCATCATGAAGGAGATTGGTCTGCTTATAAGGAAGCATGTATGTATTGTTGGAGTGACCTTTTTCTCTGATTTGATCAGAAAAATTACAAACATGCTCTATTAATGTTCTTTTCAGATATCTTTTATTGGATGGAAATTGGTTATTCAATAATTAGTATCATTACTAACCATCTAGCTTCCCTTAGTGATCGTCCCATTGAAATTGTGCATAGTATTATTTGAAGACGTACAACCAAATATTTTACAGCTCAACAATTGCAAAAAGAGGCGCATTGTATTTTTTAGCAATAACATAACAATATCTTTTAGGAGAATTTTGTACATTCTACAAAATATCCGTATATGCTGCAACAGTTGAATATGCTTACTCAGAAGTGTTCTATACAGCTTCTGAAGATATTTGCAAAGGTGTACCGAAATCGTGATAAAAAACCTATTATTAAATTCTTGAATGATTGTATCAACATATACCAATTACTATTGTTGAACTATGAAGTAACAGATCGTCACCTTCTGAGAGGGTTTGTTACTTTTAAAAAACCCAATACATCTATTTTGTGTGATTTGATGTATTGCAATAGGAGTTAGGATTTATTTAATGATTGTGTTCTGGCTTGTGGACATGGTTATCATAATTCTTGTTTACAAAAATTACATTTTAAATATCTTATATGTTTAGGTTATCTTCAAGATGAAGTTAAAAAAAACATTGATGCACTAATGGTAAGTATGAATAGTAAATTGGTTGAAAGCGAATCAATTGATGTGAAAGATAAAAGTGTAGCCACGGATAGTTCAGATGATATAGACAAAATAGTAAGCAATACGATAGAAATAGGCGATTTATTAAAATATGTAAAAATTACATTTCAACAATTGTAACAAAATTATAATAAATATTCAATAAATAAATTCTTTAATAAATTATTCAATAAATAATGACTAAATAATGACTAAATTATTTAATATATTATCCTGACTAAATAATGACTAAATTATTTAATAAATTATGTATAAATTATTTATCTAACAGCAATTTTGACTTGTTATGCAGTATGTCGATCATACCATGATTTGTGTAACGATGGACGTTCACCCCTGCTCCTGTACTATGGAAGAAAAGGTAATAAGTAAAGTAGTACAGTACGGTAATGCAAATTAGTACAGACGTATATAAATTTTAATAGTATGTATACTTATTTAATATAAATTTTTTCGTACAAGTACACTTGAATATGTTATGCGTACATACATACTTTTTCCCTAACAAACAAAATATATAATGTTGAGCAAATTATTACCATATTTAATATATATAAAATTTACTTTAGCATTACTGCTACAAAATATATGTAATTTTGAACAAATTATTATTGCATTTTTAGTATATATTAAATTTACTTTAGCATTACCGCTACAAAGAAAATTCATATTTCATTACTGCTGTAAAGCAAATTTACATTTTGCAAATTAATTTATATGCAAAGAAACCTGATGATTATTAAACAACTATATGTTTAGATTAAAACTAAACCAAACCCAGATTGATTTTTAGTTGTTGATTCTGTAATTTAAGAGCTTCTACCTCTGCTGTTTCTTTTCTGAGCTTTAGTTGACGTTCCAATAATGCCATTTTTCTTTTTTGCAATTCAATACTTGTTGACATATTATCCATTCTAATTTCACTAGCTTCATCTGTATTAGATTTAATTTCTACTACAATTTTATCTGCAATTTGACTAGTAGTATTATATCGTGGTTTTTTTCATGTAATATTAGTGGATGATAATTTTCTCTTTTTTTTTATTTCAGATTTACAGTTTTTAAGTCTTGTGACTATAAATAAAAAATTAAATTATTTTATATATGAATTATAATAAAAAAAATAATAATACATATTTACCTTTACGATTTGACTCAATTTGTTGTCATTTAACTTGACTTTTATCACATCGTGAATATGGTATACCTGAATTATCATGGGTGTCTTTAATTTTTAATAGTCTTTCATCATATCGTTTTCCACTAAAAAATTAAATTAATAATTAAAAAAATAAATAAACTATAATATATAATAAGTAATTTAAATATGTATATTACCATAAAATAGCTGACATTAATTTTAGTTGCTTTCCTTCTTTGTTAATTAAAGCATGGGCTGATTCTGCCATATTAGTATTATTTCCATATTTTCTCCAAATATGATGTTCTATTTTTGACATATTGATATTTAAAGATGAAATAATCTATGAAGTTTTATAATATTTCGCCCAATCTAATTTTTTTATAGAGTTAATATTATTTTAATTTAATAAATTTTAATTTAATAAATTAATTTATTTTACCTTTGGCACCAGGTTCATTTGAATTTTCGATTTCATTTAAAATAGATTTGACCAATTCTTGAGAAGGCGCATTAATAATTGATTTTGCTAAATTGTAAATTTCTTTTGAAAAATGTTTATTATATAAATTTCTAAATTATAAAATAAAATAAATTATTTAATTAATAAATACAGTATTTACTATTCAGAGTAAACTATATACTCTGAGTATAATATATTCTATAGTCAAATTGTAGTTTGCATTATATTATAATTACAAACCGTTGAAAATGTACAACACATGATTTAAAAATATGCATTAAATGCATTTCCCAATCCTTTGTTATATCTAATTCATATAATGCGAAGCCCAATCCTTTTGCTTACCCACTATCTAAATCACCTAATATGCATTCCCAACCTTTTCCATGTATATGATATATACATAAAGTTTTATTAGTAAGTTCTTGAATTACATTAAATAAAGTACTAAACAAGTTTTTATAATCATTCGCAGATGAAACATTTGTATATATTCGACAAAAACTCATAACTAAAATTAATAAAATATTAACAATATAAAAATAATACATATCATCGATTTTATTATATTATATATAATATTAATATATTTACCTAATTTATGCTTTTCGTCATATGTATTAATTTCAAATTCGTTGATATCACTATTAACACGTTTAAAAGATAAATCAATTTGGAAACTTTTTAAGTCAATCAACAATTCTGCTTGTTTTTTTGACATGCAGATAATTAAAATTAAATTGGTATTGAGCCATTCTAAATAAATAAAAAATTTAAATTATTATATTTATAAAATTAACATTTGATTATAAATTAAACATACCAATACGTTGAATATAATTTTTTAATTCTTGATGATTATTTTTAACAGCATAAAAAATGCCCAATATTCCTTGACCGTAAGGATGCAAATTTTTGTAAGCTTTTGCAACAAGAATTCGCAATTTATCAACACTGTTTAATGATTGATGAATATCCGAAAGTGCTTCCGATTTAAAAAATGCTTTTATTAAATTATCTAAAGAATTCATAATTTTAAAATAAAACTTTTAAGTTAATAAAATATTAAATAAATAAATAAAGTAATTATATACGTGAGTAAATATTTCTTGAAGTAATCGCATCATTTTCACTAATTGCTTGATTAATTAATATTTGCAAATTTGCTTTTATATCTGCAGGAATTTTTTTAGGAGAAGGTGGCAGATGATTGTGTATTCCAACACATACTAATGTGATAAAAGGACAGCCTTTAAGATCTTTAGGTGTAAATTTATAAAATTTTACTGGACATAGTTTTTGAACAATTTCACCACGATTAATATCTCCAGTAGAAAGATTATGAATATAATCTAAAAATAAATAAATATTATTTTAAACATAACATAATATTAATTAGTATTTATAAACTGATTATTATATACCGCATTTTTTTCTTTTAGATGAACGATGCAATAAAGTTGTACAATATGGAAGCTGTTCCTGAATCTAATAAAAATTAATAGATTATATTAATTAATAAATAATTAGTTTAAATATTACAAACTATATATTACCTCAGCTTTTCTAAGAAACAAATCTCGCAGAAGAGCAATATCTACACTTTCATAATCAATTTTTACATAACGATGCCATTGATCACTAATATTATATTTAGAACAACCGATAAACCATTGAAAAACATTTTGTGATAATTGTGACTTGCATAAAATCGGGTATCCAGAACATATAATTTCATTATTATCCTTAAACTTGCAAGAATTATTCTTAGCAGCTAAGTAATTAACTTTTTTTTTTCCTTAAACCCAAGATAACAGTTATCTGTAAACGTCAAGAGATGTATAATTAACAAATTTTAAACTTACATATATGTATTAGTTTTTCTTATATCGACATCCTGATTTTCAGTAATTTTTTTCCATAATGGGGACTCGACATCAACTTCATTATGTTCAATATTTATTAATGAAGGATCGGTAAAATGACATACTTTAATTCCCATGCAATCCCGCTCTACTTTGCTTATTGGAATATTTCCAAAATAAGGTGAACTTTTAATTAAATGAACACCGCCACCACCCATCGAATATTGTATCTAAATAAAATTAATATATATAATTATTAATAATTATTATTATAATTAAATACTACAATACAATAAAAAAAATTATTACATTTTTCCATGTATGGCTTGGATCTGTCCAATCCTCAACATGAAATATAGTTGCAATACCTTCCGGCGAGGTTGATGGATATTCTACCGGCATACTTGAATGAATTATATTCTTTATTTGAAAACGCGATGTAAAACATGCAATTTCAGGAAATTCATCATCCTCATTAAGAAATTCATCAAATTGTTCAGTATCGGTATCAGACAATTCCTAATAGCATAATTTTAACTGTATCAATTTTGTGAATTCGCTTTTGCTAGAAATGTAATAATATCGGTAATAATTAAAAACCAGCATTTTTTATTTGCATACTTGTTCATATTCAGGGTTTACAAGATCATTTTGAAATTTTTCGACATCAGATATATCAGGATCCATTTTTAGTTAATAAAAAAACCACAATTAAAAGAGGTATTTTACTAAAAGAACGATTAAAAAAGGAATCTTCACTAAAAAAGAATATCTGTACGATTAAAAAAGAAATTTTTACTCAAAAGAGAAATTTTTACTAAAAAGAGAATTTATTACTAAAATACATATATAACGATAATCAATCAATAATCAATCAATACATAATG